ATCCGACCCATGACCTTGAGCTTGCTGCAATTGTGTTTGGATTGAAACAGTGGAGGCATTTCTTGTATGGAATGCAATTTGCAGTATTCAGCGATCACAAGAGTTTGAAATACTTGTTTGATCAAAAGGAGTTGAATATGAGACAACGACGGTGGACCGAGTTCCTAAAAGACTATGATTTTGAATTGAAATATCATCCTGGCAAGGCTAATGTTGTAGCTGATGCACTGAGCCGAAAATCCGTGAGTATATCAAGCATGATGATCAGAGATTATGATGTGATTGAGAGGTTCAGAGATATTCAATTATCTAAAATCTTTCCATGTAAAATTTGTGGCTGTGAAATCACAACCATTGAGAATGAAATGATGACCAGAATTAGAGAAGCTCAACTGCAAAATGAAAGTGCTAAACGACTGAAAGGTCAGAGTGGTGTATCCTGCAATGATGAGGGTATACTATTATATCAGGGTCGTGTTGTTGTACCTAGGCAGTTGGCGGAGGAAGTAATGACAGAGGCTCATAAGGGTCATTTCACAGTTCATACGGGAGCTACAAAGATGTATCAGGACCTAAAGATGAATTTCTGGTGGCCTGGTATGAAGAAAGATATTGCCGAATTTGTCTCTAAGTGTCTCATTTGTCAGAAGGTAAAGATTGAGCATCAAAAGTCTTCTGGTATGTTGCAACCTCTGGATGTTCCTGAATGGAAATGGGAGAGTATCTCCATGGATTTCGTAATGGGATTGCCGCGAACACAGGCTAGTTATCATTCTATATGGGTGATTGTGGATAGATTGACAAAATCCGCACTCTTTTTGCCAGTTCGGGTAGATTTCTCTGCTGAGAGATTGGCTAGGCTCTATGTGAAGGAGATTGTGAGGCTTCATGGGGTGCCTGAGAGCATTGTTAGTGATCGGGACTCGAAGTTCACTTCTCGCTTCTTGGGAGCATTGCAGGAGGCTCTTGGCACTCAGTTGAGACTGAGCACTGCTTATCACCCACAGACGGATGGTCAGACTGAGAGGACCATTCAGACGTTGGAGGATATGTTGAGGGCTTGCACCCTGGAGCAGGGTACTGCATGGGATCAATATCTCCCGCTGGTTGAGTTTTCATATAATAATAGTTTTCGTGCTAGTCCGGGTATGGCTCCCTACGAGGCCTTGTATGGTCGCAGGTGTAGGACACCTACTTGTTGGTCAGAGGTTGGAGACACAGAGCGGTTTGGATTGGATTTTGTTCAGGAGACTACTGAGCAGATCAAAATGATTAGGGATCGTCTGAAAAAGGCTCAGGATCGTCAGAAAAGTTACTATGATCTCAAGCATCGACCTCTAGAGTTTGAGGAGGGAGATCATGTGTTCCTGAAGCTGTCACCGGTTACGGGTGTGGGACGAGCCCTTGGAGTGAGGAAGCTGAGTCCGAGATTTATTGGACCCTACCAGATTCTTCGTAGGGTGGGACCGGTTGCCTACCAGCTTGCCTTACCCCCACAATTGGCAAATTTGCATGATGTGTTTCATGTTTCTCTGCTGAGGAGATATGTAGCTGATCCTTCTCATGTGGTTCAACCTGATAATGTTGAAATCCGGGAGAATTTGAAGACTCCTATTGGGCCACTGAAGATACTCGAAAGAGATGAGAAGAAGCTGAAAAATAAATCTATTCCTATGGTGAAAGTCCAGTGGGAAGGAAGGACGCCTAAAGAGTCCACTTGGGAGCGGGAAGACGAGCTTCTCCGGCAGTATCCTGAGTTTAAGGACAGGTACGTTCTTGATTTTGCGGACAAAATCGCTAAAAGGTGGGGTGACTATAATAGCCCATCTTAATTAATTAGTAAATCAAGTGTAATTAATTAATTAAACATGTTTTAGTGAGTAAAATTAAGTATAAGGCGTAATGAAATGAATCTGAGTCACTTTGGAGTTAAAATGTGTACTCAGTAAAAATTAAGGGGTATAAATGGGTACTGGCAAAAGTGCCCAAAATATAAAAATAAAAATAAAAATATTCCTAGAAAAATATTCCAGACTTTTGGGTAAAGTTTGGTAATTATTGGAGTTGAATAGATAGACGAACCAATACCCGCTTAAAGCCACTTAACCTATGTTAAGTGACTAAAATCCAAAAGAACCCATTTCCCCCCCAATGCCCGTCGCCAGCAAACAGAAGAAGGAGAAGGAGAAGAAAGGGAGAGAGAAGAAGAGAGAGAGGAGGGAGGAAACCTTGATGGTTTTGGGTGATTCAAAAGCCTAAATCGCTTAGAATCTCGCCCTCTTTCATAATCCAAACTTAGTTTTAAGTGAGGAGCTTTGTGTGGTGAGATATTGGCTCTCAAAAATTCGGCCCTTTGGTGAAAATTGGGATTTTGAGAGTTTCTACCTCCATTGAAGCTTGAGGAGCCATCAATCCTTGGTTGTGTGACCATTGGTGGTAAGATTCTAACCCTTGAACCTCATGATTCCTTGAAATTTGCATGAGTTAGGGTTTATGAATAGTGTTTTAGGGTTTTTGATGAAATGTTGTTAAATTAGCTATGTTCTAGGAAGAATGGAGCTTAGAGCATGTTATGGAAAATGCTAGGAATGTCATTTAATCGGTGAAAATGAGCTTAGATAGCTAAATGAGTATACTTGTAAAATGGCAAGAATATGATGCTTGATATTGGATTTCTTGCATTGTTGATAAATGGTATGGCTTGGTTGATTGATGATTGTGTCCTAATGATGTCTAGGATTGAGACATTTGGACCGACCGTGAGTGATCAACCGCTTGAGCAAGCTATGGAGCTTGAGTAGCTCATTGGAATTGGTGTTGGTTTCGGAGTAGAGTATTGTTGACATTGGTGGTGAACTAAGATTGTTGAAGCTTTGAGGTAAGCCTTCGGACCTTGGGTGTAATTCCCTTGACTGTTCTACCAAGCCCTGAAAGGGTAGAGGTTGTGATTGTGTATATAAATGCAATAAAATAGTGTAATGCTTTGTTATACGTATGTGTATGCATTTGGTGTGGCATAGGATGGTGTTTCCCTATGTTGGTATGTTGCATGACGATGCGTAAATCATACTTGGTAGTTAGCTGGCCAGTAGGACTATTTGCATCTGAGTTTCCTTAGGACAGCTTGAGAGCTCGAGGGATTTCTCCTGGAGATGTATTGCACTTTGCATAGATATGTATTTACTGCATTATTATTGTTATTGCTATTACACTGATATGGAACTGTGGGGTGGAGAGATGCTCCAAAGACCCCTGGTTTACTGGATATATTTGTATATCTCACCGCGTGTTGTGGGGACCTCCTTTCAGGTAAGGATGCTGCAGGAGCCTCTGGTGGCAAGTGGCCATATCTGGATTATGCATGAAATGCGGCATTTCTTTTGAGATTATACATGTTGTTTTGTAGCTCACATGTATAGAATTGTAATGAATAGGCAATGATAGATGTATGATTTGTATATTGGAATGGACTTAGCCTATGCTCATGCCTTTGGTCATCTCTTTTGTTGATGGGAGCCAAGGGAATGATCATAGTGTTTTGTAAGCTAAGTTCCATGATTTGTAATGGATATGTAATATAAATGTTGTCTACTTGAAATTAAATATATGCATGCCTGTTATGTATTGAGTTATTGAATTGGTTGGGCTGAAAATCAATTAGGTACCCTTTGTTTAAATTGGGAAACGATGAGAAAACAAAGGTTATGCTGCTCAAATTCTCGCTAGATCTCATGAGGAGAGGTTGGATGAGTGCTAGGATTTAGTTTTGGGGCATGGACAATTGGGGCTTGGAATGGGGATGCATCTTCCCCTAGACTTGGACTTGAAGAAAGTGGGAATTGGAATTCCCTGGCAGCGCGCTTCAGCGCCCAGGAGCGCGCTCAAGCGCCCTGCTGCCCCTGTGAGTGCCAATGCATTCGGCCTCTTCGCGCTGGAGCGCCCAAAGTGGGGGCTTAAGCGCCCAGGATTTCGCGCTGGAGTGCCCTGGCTTGCGCTTAAGCGCCCTTCGCTGCAGAAAGATGGGATGCTTACTGTCCCCTCGAGTTTTAGCGCCCAGAGTGGGGCTTAAGCGCCCAGGGTTGCGCGCTTGAGCGCCCTTAGCCACTGAAGCAGGAGATGCTTCTGTCTCTGCGCGCTAAAACGTCCCAATGGGAGCTTGAGCGCCCAGGATAGCGCGCTTGAGCGCCCTGATGCGCGCTTAAGCACCCATTCACACTGAAATACCTGATGCTTCCTGCCTCCGTGCGCCTAAGCGCCCAGATGGAGGCTTTAGCGCCCGATAACGCGCGCTTGAGCGCCCGGTAGCGCGCTGAAGCGCGCGGGGCCTGTGACCAACACTCTTTTGTGTTGCTTCAAATTGTCATAACTTGGGCTACAGTGCTCCGATTTGAGCGCGGTTTGAAGCCACGGGTAGCTAATGAAGAAATCTACAATATTGTAGAAGTTGTGAAATAAATAGGAAGTAAATTAATGGTTTAAAATGGAATAAGAACATGATGTTAAGCTTAATTTATCTGATTCCGCAAGGTAATATGGTTATGATCACGAAATTGGGTATTATAAGTTGGGTATGTTTTAGAATGAAAAATTTATCCGGATTTTAATTGAACCCATGTGATTGTAACTACGCTTAATATCATAATGAGATGTTAACAAACCGGTTCTAGAACGGGGTGTTACAGAAGTGGGTCAGGATTGTGAGAGATGATGGCATTGGAGTGAGGATGTGTATTGGGCCGGTTCTGTTTGGGCTTATAACCTGGGGGAAAGCCATGTAACTTGTAACATTTCTCTTTAGTGTGGCCCAAGATATTGCAATGGCTGCAAAATGGTCTCTGACGTCTGAATGGAGGCCCATTGGCAGCAGCAACCATAGGTGGTGGAGAAGCTTCAGGAACCAGAGGAATGGGAGAAGAAATCTCACGCTGGCGTTCCTCTTGCAAAATCAGAGAAAAAACCTTGGATAAAGAGGGAAGGGGGTCCATGAGAAGAACCTGAGCTCAAATCGAAATGAAGGATTCGTTCAATCCCATAAGGAATTGCATGGCATGTTCTTGATTTCGATCGTTGGAGATGGATCGGAGAGCCCCACAAGTGCAGGCATATGAGGGAGAATAGTCAAGCAGTTCATCCCAAAGGGACTTCAGGCGAGTGTAGTAACTGTTGACAGGTAAAGCACCTTGTTGGAGGGATGAAATCTGGAAACGGAGTTGAAATATGCGGGGTCCGTTTGCCTGATGAAATCTGGTTCGTAGATTCGACCAAGCATCATAAGCGTTGATGAAATACATCAAGCTATCTGCAATGTCTTTGGACACTGAATTCAGAAGCCAGGAAATCACCATAGAGTTGCAGCGATTCCAGGCTCCGAAAAGAAGATGATCTGGAGAGGGATGAGTCAGAGAACCATCGACGAAAGTGGATTTATTTTTTGCTGTAAGAGCAATGGACATAACACGGGACCAAGAATTAAAATTAGAACCAGTAAGGGAGTGGGTGACTAAGACCAGACCAGGGTGGTCACCGTTGCTAAGAAAATAAGGGCTACCGGAATCTTCAATGGAAGATGAAGAGCCGGAAGATTGAGCACCATTATTGGTGTTGGTGTTGGTGTTAGTGCCACGAGCCATGAAGAAAGGCAAGGACAAAAACTAAAATTCTTCTGATACCATTTTACAACGGAAGAATAAAATACTGAATATGTAAAATAAGACTCAGAAATAAGAAATGCATTGAATTGAATTTCATTTTGATGATACTGTATACGGTGAACCAACTATATAAAGGGAAAGCAAATAACCAACTCCCTAAGATTGCGGAGAATCCCAAGGAGCAGTGGAGCAAAGAAACTAACTAACGATAAAGGAGGATTGCAGCTGATAACAGAAACCAGCAAAGAGAATTACAAAGTGCAACAGAAAGGATAAAAATGATAAAAATAAAACTGTAAAAGACGCAATTATCTTAACAACATAAGATGATAAAGACAAGGAGATAAAATCCTTATCCCTACAAATAAGAGGTTAAATCCTATATCAACTAAGAAATCTACACAGCCCAACCCTAAAAGGTAACTGTTGAAAAAAAGTTTTGAATTTAAAATAATGTTTTATTAGATAAGAATAGGATCTGATTGTTAGTATTTTGTAGATAGTTGCCTATTCTTATGATATGGTTGTTATACCATCTTGTATATAAACTATTCAGGAGGAGGAAATAAAATAAGAAGAATGTTTATTCTGTATATGATGTTTCCTTTTTAACATGGTATCAGGTGTTTCAATCCTTGGGACACGTTTTTTTTCTTCTCCTTTGTTTTTTTCCTTGCCTGACGTTTTCCCTTTTCCTCCTTTCATTTTTTCCTTTCCTTGACCCCATCGTACCTACTCTTCCCTTGTTCCTCAGAAATATCACAATTTCTCACCAATCGCATCACTGAAATCATCATCCCTTCCACCCAAACTGAAATCACCATCTTTTTTACCCCTTTCCCACGAACCGAATCAAAAAAATCGAACTTTCCCACAAACTGAATCACCGAATTTTTTCCAAACCAGAATCACTATTTTTTTACCACCATCCCTTTCCCTCAACCTGAATCACCGAAACTTCCTTCTTTGTTTCCATGGCTGAATCCCCACAAACCGAATCACCAGTCTACTCATCCACCATCCCTTCCTCATGATCATATGCTGTGTATGAAGGCATCCTAGGTAACTTTCTTGCTCTTTCTACTCACTTTCGGAATTCATCTTGGATTATTGATACTGGAGCGTCTGATCACATGATACATGATGCATCTTCCTTACTGAATTGTGGCCCTTGCAATCAGAAGAATATTACCACTGCTAATGGTGGGTCTGCCTATGTTACCGATCAGGAAATTATTGTTTTATCCCCTACACTCACCCTTACCTCTGTTCTTGTGGTGCCTACCCTTGATTTCAATTTGCTTTCTGTTAGTAGACTCACATTTGACCTCAATTGCACTGTTATGTTTTGGCCCACTTTTTGTATTTTTCAAGACGTCCAGAACCAAATGATTCTTGGCTATGGTGTTAGGCATGGCAACCTCTACTTTCTTGAACTCTCGGATTGTGACCCTGGTGTATCTGGCAGAGCATCCACTACTACTGCTCCAGCATCTCATTCGGCTATTTGGCTCTGGCATAGAAGACTCGGACACCTCTCTTTTGGTTATCTTCATAAATTACTTCCACATTTATTTTCGAATTGTAGTTTCTCTAATTTTCATTGCTCTACTTGTGAAATGGCTAAAAGCATCGTTTTCCCTTTTATCCCAGTATGAATAAAAGTACCATTCCATTTCAAGTTGTCCATTCTGATGTTTAGGGACCTCCCAAGGTCCCCTCTTTTTCTCATTCTTAATATTATGTATCTTTCATTGATGAATGTACTCGCATGGTGTGGATCTCTCTGCTTAAAAATAAAAATGAAGTGTTTAATGCTTTTAAGAGATTTCACAGTATAGTCAACACCCAATTTAAAAGTTCAATCCAAATCCTTCAATCAAATAATGGATTAGAGTACAAAAATGGACCTTTTTCTGAATTCTTATCCTCTACTGGCATAAAACATCAGACCTCTTGTACCTACACACCTCAACAAAATGGATTGGCTGAGAGAAAATAGACAATTATTAGAAATAGTAAGAGCCTCTTTATTTGATATGCATGTCCCATCTTCCTACTAGGGTGAAGCTCTTATATCCGCTGCTTACTTAATTAGTCGCACTCCCTCTAGTGCCCTTAATTTTCTCACCCCACACCAGAAGCTTGAAACTTTCTTCTCTATCCCTTACAAAATGAATTTGGAACCTAGAGTCTTCGGTTGTACCACCTATGTCCATATTTCCAAACCTCTCAGAAATAAACTTGAACCTTGTGCTAGGAAATGCATTTTTGTAGGCTATTCTGATCTCCAAAAAGGGTACAGATGCTATAATCCAAAAACTCACAAAATGTATGTAACGCTTGAAGTTTCCTTTAGAGAATCTGAATCTTTTTACTCAGGGGGAGTCACCTCTCCTTCTTCTCAGGGGGAGATTAAGTATACTAGAGAAGAAGATCTCTGGTTGACCACTTCTACAAATCCTAATCCAACATCTCCCACAAATTCGAGTTTCCCTTCTGAAGCTGCTCAATTGAATGAAACTTCTCCTCCACTGAATGAAGCAGCCGGTCATTTGAATGAAAGTTCTCCTCCAAATGAAGCTCACAAAAACATGCCTAACATAGCTGAATCACTTGATGAGGATAGTGCTGAAATACATCATCAGTCTACTAATGAGGTAAATTCTGTCCTACATTTAAATTCTCCAATACCTGCTCCACAAACCAGAAAATTCGAAAGGCCCAATAAAGGTATACCAAGAGCAACATACGAACCAGATCTGAAAACAAAAGTGAAATACCCCATTAATAGTTATGTATCATCTCACCGATTATCTGGATCATATGTTCTAACAGTTGATCAATTATCCACTGTATGTATTTCTAATAGTGTGCATGAAGCGTTAGAAAATCCTAAATGGAAGCAAGCAATGAACATTGAAATGGAGGCTCTCCAAAAGAATGAGACTTGGCAATTAACTTCATTACCAAATGGCAAGAAGACAATCAGATGCAAATAGGTTTACACTGTAAAGCTTATGGCTGATGGAAGCATTGACAGTTACAAATCAAGACTCGTAGCAAAAGGATACACACAAAAATATGGTGTTGACTATCAAGATACATTTGCTCTAGTGGCTAAACTCAACACAATTCGAATTCTGATATCTATAGCAGCTAACAGAGATTGGCCTTTGAAGCAATTTGACGTTAAGAATGCTTTCTTGAATGGAGATTTAAAAGAAGTAGTCTACATAGAGGTCCCACCAGGAATAAAGCTAGCACCGAAAAAAGAAAATGTGTTTTGCAAACTAAACAAGGCCTTGTATGGTCTTAAACAATCACCCAGAGCGTGGTTCAGAAGATTCACAATGGAAATGAAGAAATTTGGGTATAAGCAAAGTAACTCAGATCACACATTGTTCATAAAGCATAGTAATGGAAAGGTAGCAATACTCATTGTCTATGTAGATGATATGGTGTTAACTGGTGATGATGTAGAAGAGATGAAACTACTTGAAAAGAGGTTGACTGCTGAATTTGAAATGAAGGACCTTGGCCATTTGAAATACTTTCTTGGAATAGAAGTTGCAAGATCCAAACAAGGGATTTTTTTGTCACAAAGAAAGTATATCCTGGACCTCTTAGCCGAAACTGGAATGTTGGCTTGCAAACCAATCGATACTCCAATAGAGATGAATCACTCCCTTGCCGTCTACCCAGCTCAAGTTGAAGCAGATAAGAACAGATATCAAAGGTTAGTTGATAAATTAATTAATTTATCTCATACTAGACCTGACATTGCTTATTCTGTGAGTATTGTAAGCAGATTTATGCACTCTCCTGTGAACAACATATGAATGCAGTTTATTGTATCCTTAGATACCTAAAGGGTACACCAGGAAAATGCCTCTTATACTGTAAAAATGACAAGACTGGTGTTGAAGGATATACTGATTCTGGCTGGGCAGGTGATAAAACTACTAGACAATCAACTTCATGATACTTTACCTTTGTAGAAGGCAACTTGGTCACATGGAGAAGCAAGAAACAAAAGGTGGTAGCAAGGTCAAGTGCTGAAGCAGAATATAGAGGAATGACATATGGAATTTGTGAGTTATTATGGGTGAAAAGCATTTTAAATGATCTGGGAATCAGATATGATCAGCCTATGAATCTATATTGTGATAATAAAGCTGCAATAGAAATCGCCCACAATCCAGTTCAACATGATAGAACAAAACATGTCGAAGTGGATAGACATTTCATCAAAGAAAAGCTGGATGGGAAGATTATTCAAACTCCCTATGTTAAGTCTGAAGATCAACTTGCAGATGTGTTAACTAAAGCTGTGTCAGGGAGAGTCCTTGAAGATTTGATTGGCAAGTTGTGCATGATAAACATTCACGCACCAACTTGAGGGGGAGTGTTGAAAAGAAGTTTTGAATTTAAAATATTATTTTATTAGATAAGAATAGGATCTGATTGTTAGTATTTTGTAGATAGTTACCTATTCTTATGATATGGTTGTTATACCATCTTGTATATAAACTATTCAGGAGGAGGAAATAAAATAAGAAGAATGTTTATTCTGTATATGATATTGCCTTTTTAACAGTAACCTTATAAATAAAAGGCTAAAGACCCCCAGGTAGACACTCTGAACTCATTTACTATTACTGTCAATATTATTCACATACCCACATCTTGGCCATAAGCCTATTGCTTGTGCGCAGTAATTGAGATATTGACTATAAGCTAACCAAGATATCTGTATATAGGATATCTCTGAGTGCATACCCTAAGATATAATTTCACAGTTCTCTAGGATCGATATATAATGTGAGACGCACAAATAATTTGATAGAATTTGAACCTATACCAAAGGTTTAGAAGACAAAAAAGAAAAGTGTCCATTGTCTAACGGATAGGACATAAGAAGTTAAGAAACTCTCTAGTTAAAAAATCAGGTAAGAATAAGAAGTTCTACACTAATTCTTGGTTATTGATTCACTTATATATTATGGTCCGCATAATAAAAAAAATTAGAGTTGTTAGATATAAATGGAATGAGTGATCAAAATTGATAATGTAATTCCTGACCTTATATATATAGAGAGAGAGATAATTCACTTGTATATTATGGTTCACATAATAAAAAAATTAAAATTGTTAGATATAAATGGGATGAGTGATCAAAATTGATAATGTAATTCCCGACCTTATATATAGAGAGATAATTCATTTATTTTAATGATGTTCAAAGCAAAATATTATAGCATTCCTTCCATTTTTTTAAATAAAATAAATTGTTCACCTAGCTAAACTATGCAACAATCTTTGAAGACTACTCCAAACTCCTAGATGAATCTGCCTTAATTTTCCCTTTTCTATTTGTTGGAAAAAATTTCCTATGTTAAAAAGAAGGTTATCATAAGTTTTTGAAATACAATGAAAATTTCTATAATTTAAAAAAGCATGAGATTTTGAAATATTTTACTCTTTCTGGTAATATGTTTTGAGACAAGACTTCTCCCATTCTTTTTTTTTATTCTAATCTTCGTATACTAAAAATGAAAAAAAGAGAGGATAAAGGAAGTGAATTTTAAAAGAGTTAGCTATGATTTTGTTGGGCCAGTACGTATGGCGTTGCAAATCCCACAATGGGTGTCATAAATGATATGTTTAATCTGTCTTAGCATTAATTTTGTATTCAAAATCGTGTGGCTTTCGTTTTCAATTACAAATCTCAATGAAGTAAACCGAGGAGGAACACAATACCACACAAATCACAAAGATCATGGATCGAGGAACATAGCCCAAATAAATACAAACCTTGAAAGGCAACAATGTTCCATTGGCCCAAAAAAAAAAAGCAATTAAAAGAGGAAGCACAGCAAGGATTTGATATGGAAAATTCATACATACTCTATATTTAACATTTTTTGGAAGCACATTGAGTACCAAAGATTAGTACGACTTTTAAGAGAGTGTGTTGTTTGAAAGTGAGGAGTATTGCATCATCTATTAGACTACGTAGCATTATTGCCACTGACTTGGTGCAGAGTTTTAAGGAGGTGTTTGGTAATGAAGGACTTTTGTGTGTTTATTCAATTTTAATTAAATGTTACCTGGCTCATGTAAGCTTCGTTTGTTTGTCTCTATACTAATCAAAGCTTGGTGGGGTACTTGCCTCCTTTAATAGTATTTTGTATTATGTTAAAAAATTTCACTCCATTTCAAATGATGAAAAAAGAAGAAGAAGAAAAATAAAATTCCATTTCCAAATCCCATGTGTTGGAACAGGCATATGAGCGAAAAGTATCATGTTTGAAGTAGAGAAAGAACGATTAATTATAAACTTCATTGGCTTATGCTTAATTTGGGCCAAAAAGTTTTAATCCAACTATTTTGGTTTCGAATAGTTTCATACTTAAACCATTCCAAACACTCCTACAAAACACAAAAGCCCAATACCAACAAATACTTCTAACCATTAGAATTATAGAAAGGCTCCAAAGTGGTAGAATTCTGGTGAGTTGCGTTGAATAATAACAATGCTAGGAGCATTGAGAATGTATATATATATATATATATATATATATATATATATATATATATATATATATATATATATATATATATGGGATATGATCAACTTACACCGGTGTAAGAATAATAAATCTTACACCAAATTTTAACCGTTGATTTCCGTGCATCCAATGGTTGAGATTTATTGGGAATTAAAAATTAATTAACGAGTGAGACCTAATAAATCTTAACCGTTAGATGTAGAAAATCAATGATTAAGATTTGGTGTAAGATTTATTATTCTTACACCGGTGTAAGATGATCCTGCCCCTATATGTATATATGAGGTAGGATATTCATACTACCAAAATTTTCTACTACCACTCTAATCACCATTGGATTCAAAAGTTATTTTTCTTTTCTCTCTCTTGATTCAACTTTTCCTCTAATCCAATGGTGATTAGAGTAGTACTGAAATGGTATTGAAAATTTTTAGTAGTATAAATATCTAGCTCTTTCTCTCTCTCTCTCTATATATATATATATATATATATATATGGTTTTAATGTTTCTTGTGGTATAGGAGATAAATTTTATCTCCTACACACAATTGTATTGGTCCATAATTCTACCATAATTCTTATTAGACAATTCAACGCTAATGAATGCATATATACTCATATGATAACAAAAAAGATTAAATTAAATGCAAGTATAATATAATGGAGTGTGTTGACTACTGTCAGGTCAAGAATCCAATTGAAGAGATTAGATGCTAAATCTATCAAACTCTTTCTTTGTACTCAACAATAATAGTATAGTTTAAAATGACAAAAACATAAATTAATAGTTTCTTTTTACTATGTTTTCATTGGTTTGAGAGTAGAAGGTTATCAATGATGAAAGAAAAGCTGATCCTTACTGTTTTAGAAACGCTAATCAATGTCTGGTAGAAATAAAAGTAAGTTAACAATATTCAGTTATGTCAAACATAAGCGAAGAGTTAGCCAGGTGATTCAGTTCTAACACTGGCTGGATTTTATTGCTGGGCTGACATGATCTGAATTTGAACTTGAGTAGTAAGTTCAAGCTATTTTGATTTGAATACACATCAATGATACTCCAAAAGCCACACATATGTAGTTTCTGGATCTATTTGTTGATTTTAATTCAGCTATAACAAAATTTACAAACATATAAAGAACAATAATAGAAGCACCATTAAGAAAGAAAGTAATAAGAACAAGCAGCTTTTGCTCTCCTAGCTGTGACTATATATAACCAATTCATCATTTGAAACCAAGCTTGCCACTTGAAGATGAATGAAGCAGTGAAGACACGGAGAAGCTTGTGTTATTGCTTTTTGTATTCAAAGTTTGCATGACTGATGCTGATGAAGATGTTGCAAGAACTACACCATTGCTTTTATTCCCACACACATCATTTGCAGGAGACCCCTTTATAAGCACATCAAATTTTGCATATTCCTCCCTTTCATGCTTTATCTCCTTGAGCATTGCAGCAATATCTCTCATTGTTGGCCTTTCATCCGGGGATGAATTTACACACAATAAGGCTATGCCCAATGCCTGCATCATTTCCTCTATTTCTGATTCTGGTCTAGAGAGTAAGCTTGGATCAAGTACTTCAAGACCCCTTTTCTGTCTCACCCAATCAACAACATGTAGACCATCTGGTATGGTTGGATCAATTGGTTGCTTACCTGTCAAGACTTCTAACAAAACTATACCATAGCTATAAACGTCACTCTTCTCTGTGATCTTCATCATATAGCCATATTCTGAAACAAATTTAAAGTCAGCTTCAACATGCTAAACAAGATATCTAAAATGTGTTAAAAAGATGTAAAATATGATTGAGAACAAAGCCAACAGTTCAATCATGTGCAAGCAACTATATAAAACAAATTATTAGGTATAGTTTCCTGACATTTGTTTTCCTTTCAACTAAGATATTAACTGTATTTGATTAAATACTCAGCTCAATTTGTTCCATACACCTAGTTAGCTACATATAACATAAAAGATGTGACTTGATTCTGGAGAAGAGTAGAAGCAATTTATGCAAGTAACAAACAAGTAAAAATCCAAAAGAAGAATGTAATCAAGTTGTGGAAGGCGCACTAACCTGGAGCAATATATCCATAGGAACCAGCAACTGTATTGGAAGAACGACCAAAATCACCATCATCAACAAGCTTAGCCAAGCCAAAGTCAGCAATGTAAGGTTCAAATTCAAGGCCAATGAGGATGTTATTGGCTTTGATATCTCTGTGGACTATAGGAGGGACACAGTCATGATGTAGATATGCAAGGCCTTCTGCAGCACCTAACAATATTCGGTACCTAAGTTCCCATTCCAGAGAATTTCCAGTCCTCTCATGAAGTAGGCTACTCAAACTTCCATTTGGCATATAATCAAAAATAAGCAATCTTGTTTTTCTGTTCCAACAACAACCCAAGAATCTTACAATGTTCTTATGACGGATTGAGCCAAGGGCCTTCACCTCAGCTGAGAATGAGTCACGAACTCCAATTTTTTCATCCTTAACTGCCTCTCCTGCATCAGTTGTTATTTGCCACAGTTTCTTCACTGCTATGACTTCACCATTATCCATTTCAGCTCGATAAACAACACCAGAACATCCCTTTCCTATTATGTTTCTATCAACCAAACATCTCAGTACTTGTTCCACTGAGAAATTTAGCTTCTGGAATGGTATGAATTGCCATGGCCATGAGTCCCCTAATTCTGAATCATCATCTCTAATGGTTCTTCTTGCTTTGATCACAGCAGTTATCCCCATAACTATCATTATCACTGTTAAGGCTATCAACAATCCAATGGCTAGCTTAAGCCTTCGTGATTTCCTTACATCATTTCCATTCACTGCCACACCAGAATCCTTTGCAAAGCATGAGTCCTGACCTGAAGTACAAAGCCCTTGATTCCCAGTGAGGTCTTTTGACGATAACTGCCTGAAAAGCTTGTTATCTGGAAGATAGCCTTTAAATTTATTGTAAGAAACATTGAGGGAGACAAGGTTATCTAGCACTGCAAGAGGTTGCAAATCTCCTTCCAACTGGTTATGTGAAAGGTCCAATATAGAAAGCTTGTTAAGAGCAGATATCTGAGCTGGGATTATGCCACTGAGTGAATTGCAACTAAGATTAAGAGCAATTTCCAGTGTCTCAATATGGCCCAGCTCGGCTGGTATGCTTCCAGTGAACTGATTGCTACTAAGATCAAGTAGTTGGAGATTGGAACATAGGCTCAGTGATGCAGGAATTGGTCCAGAAAACAAGTTATTGTCAAGGATTAGCTTATTTAGAGAAACAAGACGACCTAAACTTGCTGGTATTGGACCTGAAAACTTGTTAGAAGAAGCATCCAATACCTGAAGTGCAGATAGTGATGACAAAGAATTAGGCAGTGGACCTTCTAAGTTGTTACTGCTGAAGTCTATCATTTGCAGTTCTGTGCAGCTTCTAATCTCATCAGGCACTGGCCCAGATAGGTGGTTCCCGGAGAGATCTAAGAAATTCAAGCTCTTGAGGTTGCCTATTGTCTTGGGAATGCTACCAGTAATCCTGTTGTTTCCAAGCCTCAACCTTATAAGAGAGCTGCAACTACCTATTTCTGATGGTATAAAACCTGATATATCATTGGAAATTAGAAGCAGTTTTGTGAGGTTCTGGAGCTGAAATAGGCCAACAGGAATGCTGCCAGTGAGTGCATTGCGAGACAAGTCTAGTGCTTGTAGGTTACTACAGTTTCCCAAAGTGGAAGGAATGCTTCCTTCAAGCTGGTTCTGCCATGCAAAGAACACCATGAGATTTGACAACTGTCCAAGCTCTGGTGGAACCAAGCCTGAGAGCTGATTTGTGTCAACTTGCAACTGTTGAAGATTTTTAGCATTTGAAAGACTGGAAGGTATTGAACCAGACACATTATTATCACTAATCATAAACTCTTCAAGTTCTGAAAGACCCCCCAAAGACAATGGTATAGTTCCAGACAGAGAATTCAAAGAGAGATCAATTTTTCTCAAGCTTGTACAGTTACCAATCTCTTCTGGGATAGGCCCCACAAGACTATTCTGCCACAAAAACAACTGTTGCAGCTTTTGGAGCTTGCCAAGCTCAGGTGGAACACTCCCTGATAGACTATTTTCATATAGGAACAAGTCAACAAGTTCAGAACAGTTACCTAACTCTGGTGGAATCTCACCAGATAGCATTGTTGTATAGATGGACAAAGTCTGAAGCTTACTAAGCTGACCCAAAGAAGCAGGCAAAGAACCAGATATTCTGGTATCAGCCAACCCCAACACAGTCAAATTGCTGCATTCTCCAATCTCTTCAGGGATCTTCCCAACTATATCTTTGTTTCCTCCTGCTCTGAGGACCTCAAGTTTTGACAACTTTCCTAGCTCAGGTGGAATAGTACCACCTAGCTGATTATCAAAAAGAAGTAGATTTTTGAGGCCAACACAGTTGCTTAGCTCAACTGGGATTCTTCCAGTAAGCTGGTTGGAGTTCAAAGACAAGTTCTCAAGTTTCTGGAGTTTGCCAATAGTTGCAGGAATAGAGCCAACAAGATTGTTGGAGCTAAGGTCAATGACAGTGAGGGAAGAGTAATCACCAATGTCAACAGGGATGGTTCCAGTGAGATTGGCATCAGAAATGACAAGCTTGTGAAGAAAGAGAAATGAAGAGAGATTAGAAGGTATGGGAAGCTCAAGAGGGATGGATTGTATATTGATTTCAGTGACAAAGCCTAGTGAGGAGCATGTTATGGAGGTCCAGTTGCATGGATTGGTATCAAGGATGTTCCAGTTAGAGAAAGATGGAGGGGGTGGTGATGCAGAACTATGGAGCCAGGACATGAGAATTGAGGCTTCATGGTTAGCAGAGAAGGCAAGGCCATAGAGAAGAGTAGAGTGGAGGAGAATGATACAAAACAAAGAACAAGAAGAAGAAGGAGAAGAGGAAGAGATGTAGAAGGATTGCCTCGAGCTATGCATTGAAACAATGAAACATTTGCCTCAAATTCCAAAATTTTCTCCTTGGGTTTGAGTCATTGGGTTTTGCACTCTTCCCTTAACCACCCCTCTACTTGTGTGAATGTGTCTGTGCTTTCTTGGTTTGAACTCAAACTCTTGAGTAGCACTTCTCCTTATCCTAGTTTAACTCTTTTCAAAACAAAGCTAAAAAGATGACATAAACCACAGGGAGAATAAACTAAAATAAAATAAAATATAAAAATTCAATGCCTAGAGATCAGAAAATCTGCTGCAGAAGTAGCAGAGCATCACCACCCCACCACACCAAAGATGATTCTTTGTGTCTAAGCAAAAGTATTAGAATAATATGGAGGCTCTGCCAGGTTGTGTTTCTTGCAGTGAAGAGAGGTATCTTATATCTCTGGAGTTTGGTTGCACTGCATATGTGTCTATGATTTAAGGTGTTTGTTTATTGTTGAGCACATAGAGCACTCTCTTACTCAGTGTTGTTTGCTATGTCTCCTTTCTTTTCTTTTCTTTTCTTTAATGAAAAGTTTTATAGAAGAAAAGTTGGTCCTATTCTTAATGGATGATATGTCTCCTTGCTATGTCATCAGTTTTAGTGGTACTGGTACTTACAAAAAGACATATATCACCAACAAAAATCTAACTTAAAATCTTTAAGCAAATGTAATTTGATTTTAGAGCTTGTCTATTTTCATGTTATAATAGAATAGTTATCTCTTATTATAGATATACAGTGATGCGGCCTATCATTTAAAAAAAAAATTAAAATAAAATACTGCATAAATTCAGAATGTGTAAGAAGGAAAACTACTTTACTATAACATGAGAAAAGTAATTTTTTCCTTGGTTTTATCACTACTACAACATGAGAAGAGTAATTTTTCCCTTGATTTTATCACTTCAATTAATTTCATCTATGTAAAGTGCCAATTTTATCAGTTTAATTTTTAAATTCAAATTTTGAATTATTTCGGTTATCTTGTGTTAATTCTATATTTATTTCGGTTTTACTTCAGTTTAATGTATAATTTGAATTTAAATTATCTTGAATTAGTCTTATAAATTTCTAATTGTATCCTCATATATTTAAAGACGTTTTCATAATAACAAAAATGGGATTGTGAATATTTACCAAAAATAAAATAAAATGGGATTGTAAATAATTTATTAATTTATTACTACGAGCATGTTTGAAAAATCATTTGTAAGCCATAAGGATACGAAATTTGAAAGTTGTGTCTTTAGTAAATATGACGCAAAATTAATTTTGATGTATATCATGAATTAATTCTCAAAATAATTTAAAATTGTTAGGTGAAGACTCATAAATAATTGTATATTTATTGTGTTTTTTCACTCAAAATTCTTTTACTTAGAAATATAATATACAAATATGTCTAACAGTTGTCTTAAAATTTTATAACTATGAGTGTAGATTAATAAAATATGGGTTCGCTTTTTCTACTGTTACTACAGATAAGTTATCTGCAGTAAGTTCAATACGACGTCATTTTAGGACGAAAATCATGATGTTTTGTAATTTTAATTTATTTCAGGATTATTATAGTCTTTATAATTATAATTTTTTAATATTTACTCACAAAACGACATCGTTTTGGGAGTAAATGCAGATAATTTATCTATAGTAACTGCTGAAATTTTTTTCTGATAAAATATACTCTTATAAATTTATATTATATTATAACTTTAAACTTGTTTATACATGTAGATCATAATTACACATTTTAAAGTAATTTTTATCAACAAAAGGAAATAATATTATTTTTACTAAAATTATTTCTTAAATGAAAATTTATAAACACAAATCACTGTTTATAGACATACTTTTTTAACAAAATCAAATTTAGAACGAGAAATTTTGTGTGTGTGTAAAATTTAATCTAAAACCCACTCTGTACGTGTCTCATCTTCCAATACAGCTTTATGGGAAATCAGTTTATACTATTTAGATTTTAGGATTTACTATTCCCTCTTGCAACGTTATGTAAACAGATGGTCAAGAAAAAGCACAGTATCATTAATTCCACCCATCTGCAAGTATAGGTTTATTTATAGGAAAAACTACTCTTACGTTATATGTGATAAATTTCTCTCCTACACACTCTTCGATAATCGTGCCATCTTTTTCTTTTCTTTTATTTTTATTTTTCAGGTGGTGGAGCCCACAAGTTTATCTCTATGACATGAGATAACTTATCTCCTTTAACATGAGATTAATAAAACTCTTTATTGCTTCTTCATTTATTGTCTCTTCTCTCACATCTTAAATGATTTTGAGTAAATTATGTTGACCGTCCTTATGCGTTTTGTTGTAAAACTATATTAATGTTGTTTTAATTTTAAAAAATACGAGTCTCATATACTATATTTATCTTTTTATGAAAAAAAAAAATATGAATATGTGTATATGCCTCAAGTAAAAATACAATAAATTATTTGTCTGATAAAAATCTAAAATTAGTGAAAGTGAAATACTATAACTTTTAAAATTGTAAAGGTTGTCATGTCAGTATGAGTTTATTAAAATTAAGAGAATAATATAGTTTTTTTTTCCTTGCACATTATATAATTTTGTAGGAAAAAAACAACAGTGTCAATGCATAGCACAAACAAATATTTTGTCCTTATTAGATAATTTTTCATTACTTTCCTGCATAAATTTGAGTCTTTGGTATTATCCATAATAATGAGTTTTCAATTTATGAAATGAATCAATTATTAACATTTATACTGAATACATTTTTTATTTTGTATGAGATAATTTTGTCTCATGTACACATTAAAAGTGAATGAGATTAACTTTTTTTTTTCTCTTTCTTTTCTTTAATAAGTCTCGCGTACTTTTTTGTATGTGTATGATACATACAGTTTTTGTCTCATGCATATTTATACCACAAAATAATGTAAACATTATAATTATAATTGCATGTTAATAATTAGTATTGTGTGAAAAGTAAGATTTTTTTAGAAATTCTGTAAACAACTACACCTTCAAGATATATGTATCATAATTCGTACAGAATCACAAACTTTGGATTCCCTGTGTCAAGAAAGTTTATCAGGATACATGTTTATGCGTGTTCATATGATTACATATATTAAAAAATGTTCAAGTTGTTGTGGGGAATAAAAAAAAGTAATGTACATTGTTCTTTAGCTCGTCTTCCTAAATTTTAGTAGGAAATAATATTTTTCATAAAATATTTTCTATATATATAAAAGTGTGAGGTCTAGTGTGAAGAAGATAGAGAAAAAAAAAAGACTACTATACATATTTTTATATGTATGCAAGAAATAAAATTTATCTCATATAACATGTAACATGAAAAACATTATTTCAACTCTAATATGTTGAATTCTGAATTAAACGGAAATACTACATCCTTATCAGTTATATCGATACACTTCAAAAAGTTAAAATTCTTTATTTTTTGTCATTAACTAAATAGTTGTTTATAAGTTAACAACAGAGATTCAGAGTTACAATTTTTTTTTTCTGAAAGCTGCAGTTTTTTTTTTTAATTTATGTATTATATAAATGCATACTTACACGCATATATAGGCTTGCATATAAAAGGTGAATATTAGTTGATATTATTATTGGTCTAAATTTTGATATAATTATACCATTTAATAATTTTTATGATTTTTTATTATTTGATCAATCATTAAGTTACTATCAATTATCGTGTAGATATCGTATGTCAATTTTTTACTAAAAAAAAAAAAACCATATATGTGAATAAGGAAAATGTTAAATGCACTACATATACCACCAAAGGAATTCAAATTATTATTTTTATCTCTCTAATTAATGACTGACAAAATTTTTTTAAGAAAATCCTTATATATCATACTCAAAAAATTTATATCAATCTTATACATGGTTGTCAAAGTAACCTTGATATTATTCCTTATTCATTACAAAAAGAAACTTTTTATATTTAATATGTTATACTTACAAGTTACAACCTCTTAATGTGTGTACTGTCGTTTTTATTATTGTTGATTCAAAATCTAATCCATAATTACAAAATAACATCAAGAGTCACTAATTTAATTTTAATTTAATTATAACAAAATAATGGTAGAAGATGTAAATACGTTTCCCATCGACGTGTTTATTGACTCAATAAACACCAATTAGGTCAAACAGACCTCTCTCTTTTGTGTGTGTTTTTAGTAACACAAACAGCCCTCTTTATTATCTTATATATTTTGCTTTGTATATACCAACAAAATAAAATTATCATAGAACAATGTAATGCTCTTAATTAAGACATTAACGCTTCAATGATTCTGTGTATAAGATTTCGAACAATGACCAATTCGACATTGAAAAAAAATCAATATATCACGGTTTTTAAATTATTTTCTGAAATATACCACAGTTGTATCCCATCAATATTAGAACCAACGGACCGTGTATTCAATATATATATATATATATATATATATATATATATATATATATATATATATATATATATATATATATATATGTATAATATGCTATATATCTCATCATGTAATTATGTAATGTCTTGAGCACAACAGACCGTGTATTTAAGATAATAGACAGCCTCTGATGACAATCAACCCCCACAATTAAGTTTAAATTTAATTGTCAGAATAAATTTGTTTAGTTTTAATTAATACGAATGTGAAGCTGCTCTGCCAGTATTAGGGTTTAGGTTACAACACTTAATAGAAACAAAATAATGTGCGCAAGAACAAGATGACGTTGGATTGCCTAGACCGCAATCTTCCACTATGCACAGACCATGCGCACTAAGCACGACTCAGTTGTGTAAGCAATAAACAAATATATTATATATATAATGATTTTCGTGATATATATGCTTATGCAGAAACTACACGTGACAGTGAACCCCGCTAGTGTAGGATCAATTTCTCTCTTTTATTTTTTATTTTTCATATTCAGTACAATATATATATAATGGGTACTCATCGAAATGAGATATTGGGTGCAGATAGTTGAGGGATCCAATGGAATTTTTGCATTTCTTATGTATAAATGAGCTCGAATGTGCATAAAATTCACCAGATTTTGATTAGTTTCTTCAAGTGCTGTTATAGATCGATGGATTAGATCTCAGTTCAGCATAATGAAAAATTAAATTTACATAAATTTTCTGGTTGAAAAGTTCTTTTATATTCTCTCCATTTGATAGTTCCTATACACATACCTAATAAGTTTTCTGTTTTTTTCTTAAACTTTCCCGTTCTATTGTTAACTAGTCCCTAAGCACTTTACACGTATAAGTTATATCTTTTGTTTATGTATAATTATTTTTAAAAAATGTATATGATTTATATATTGTTACAGTTTTTTATTTTTATTATTTTATTATTATTTTACGACTTGTTGGTTTGTTTAAATAGCATGTTGTGGATAGTTCTTTTGTTTGTTTTGTTATTTAATTTGAATTTCAAATTTAGCCTTTAGGTATTAACTATTAGTAGAGCTTATATAGTGTTAGTGGGTAGTTATTTTGTTGACTTATATTATCTATTTAAACCTTGAAATATTTGAATCAAGATCATCAGAACAATTATTTGAAAAAAAAAAACACTATGCAAGAGGCTTCCTTAGTAAAATTATTTGAGATCATGTTTCTTCAATAAAACCAAATTCCCATATTCATTTATTTTGTTGGTAACATATATATAGTCATTGCGGTGTGAATATATTTATGGGCACCGTATATTTTACAATTTGTTATATAATGGATTGAAAAGACGCATGGAAAACTTATAATTTGTTTTATTTTATTAATTTGTACTGTTCAATCTCATGTTTACAATTCAGTATATACACAGGTTGGTATTTATACATGAAGATGAGTGATATTTTTGTATATTATCACTGTTTCCTTTACACATACACATAATAAAACCACTGTCACGGCTTTTGTCCCTCGTTACCATGCATGCATGATTTTCAAAAAGATGGCAATCATGTGGCTTAAAAGACTTTGAAACTACAGCACCAAAACATAATTTGAATCAACGTTATTCCACATTCCATAATCATCAAAAGAAGAAAAAAAAAAGCTTGACAAAAGAGAAAAGTGAAGAGAAAATTAAAATAAAGAAACAAAACAAAGCAGTATGAAACCATGACCATGACTCTTGATGTAAGTATGTGAGCTAAGGTGGCGAAAATAATTAACATTTTAGGAAGCTAGTTGTTTAAGATGGATAGTGGGGTGGCAGCAATAAGCTTTTAACAAAAGAAAAAACAACATCCCAGATTTTGAGGTCACATCACGTGAGGACGGGAATCCAAAATTTTCTATTAATTCATTGTGTGTCACCTACTAAACCCTTTATTCATAGAATTATTAATATAAGAAATTTGAATGTAGAGTTGGTAGTCATAGTTTAATTAAACAAGGGTATACCCAATACATATGAATATAAATGACAGTCCAATCAAGACTCCAACCAAGTAGGCCATGCCCATAAACAAAACAATTTGATTTATAAACATAAAGAGCCAAAAGGATAAAAAGGTAAACGGCGCTGCTCCCCCAGCGTCTGCGGCCCCTATTTTAAGGGTCGTGACATTGGGAAACTCCCCATCGGAATCTATGCTCATTTTTGGTTCTATTACTTACCTCACGACCTCAATCAAAAACCCCACTATAACTATATACAACCTAATTAATACACACCCTGCACATTACTTCTTAATTTATGAAATTGGAGATCAAAATTTCAAAATTGGAGTGGCATGATAATGCCTAGATTATTTTAATTTTATTTAGGTTTTATCAGGAAGCTTCCTTGATGATTAATTTTTTTGTTAAAAGGAAGCTTAACTTTATTAACACCAAAAACTTTGGTATTACTAATAAGGATTGGATGTGGTGTAAGTATTTTTTATTATTATTTTGGAGTTAATCCAACCCTAATTATCTCTTTGAGGTGAGTTGGATCTCCCGGGTAGGGCAGGATCGAACCGAACTGGATTTTTTAAAAAATCGAACCGAATTGGTTTAAATGATTCGGTTTGAAAGTGGTTCGGTTCAGTTCAAAACTGGTTCGGTTCGGTTCGGAACCGGTTCGAAACTGGTTCTGGTCGACCCTCTTTTGAAAAGAAAAGAAAAATAAAAATTTTAAAAAATAAAGTTATAAAAATTATTTTGGTTCGGTTTGAAAATAGTTCGATTCGGTTTGGTTCTTAAACCGGTTCTAAAAATCGGTTCGGTTCATGAACTGGTTCTTTAAAAATCGGTTCGGTTCATGAACTGGTTTTTAAAATTCGATTATTTTAAGGGGCGGTTTGGTTTGGTTCGGTTCATGGTTCGACCCAATTTTTTGCTTATTTTGCACACCCCTACCCCCGGGTATCCCTACAAGCTTAGATTCTTTGAGCTGGCTATGAGACTAATCCGAAATACTGAATGAGTTAAGGATGAAGATATTTAAACTCCTCCCAAATGTGAGGTGTGAGGATCGAATCAAGATATTTTCTTTTTCATTTATCTAATTTTCTCACTACCAATTGAGTTATTACCATTCCGAGGATGTGGTGTAAGTAAGTTACACTTTCAAGAAGAAGATTAAGGTTCAAAGCCTAAAGAAATTGTTGGGAGAGCCTCTTAATCGTGATAGTAGCTAGAGGAATTAGTCTTACTTTAGCGAAGATATACCGAGACAATAAAAAAGGCGCATATTGATTGTCAGTACAAAGTGTTAAATTTTTTTAAGGATTCTTGTAAGTTGTAATCAAACGTTATTTTGTTTTACTAATAATGGATTAATATTATAATCCATTAGAAGATATACTCAAAGCCCATTAATTTAGTGATCAATTTATAATGAATTCAATTTATTTATAGTTTGATTAATGTAGTCTAATGAAATTAGTGTAAATTTTAACCTAACAAGTCGTTGATCGGAAGGCATACTTTGTTATTTAAGGCCTAACGCGTGAGTCTTGAAAAGATTCCCATACCTACGGAGGAGACACATGAAAACAAGCTCTGATTTCATCATTGTATAACGCCTAGCACCGGTATATAGGATAAACACCGTTATACTTGCAGGAGAAGTAATATCTGGTCTTGATATATATAAGTGATGTTTAAAAAATGGGTTAAGTACGTGCCTTTTTAAAAATTTTAAAGGATACAAGTTATGTTCTTTTATTTTTTTATATTATGTACGGATAATATATAGTTATAATATGAAAAATTATTTTTTCTCTCTCCACGTTAACTAAAATGACTGAGAAAAAAGAAAAAAAATAACTTTTAATATTATAAGTATATACTATACATGTAGTACATAGTGTTAAAAATTAAAAGGACACAACTTGTGTTCTTTAAAAAGGTAAATATTTTCCCCTTAAAAAATATATAAAAATATAAATTATTATATATATTTTTTCAATTTTCATGTTTCTTCATGGCATAACACACATATATATACACACAAAAAGTTTTTTTTTCCCTCCCTTGTTGTGATTTTTTTTATTGTCAAAATGGTCGAGAGAAGCTATTCGAGTTATGTTCTTTAGTTGACTTGGGTTAAGTTAACACTTAACACTATGTGATGTCAAAAAAGTTGGCCAAACCCTATAAAATTGGAGGACCAAAATAGCTGAGCCAAAAAGATTTGAAAACATTAAGCCGGTTCATTCAGGATATTTACTTAAAAGTTTTAATTTGATGTTTTATTTTGTTTCTTATTTCTTTAAGAATTTCTAAATGAAATGTCCTTTGCAAAATCTTAAAAAAGGAACAAAAATGAAAAATATAAGTATTATTTTCATAATTATCGATAAAAACATATCAACTCAAAACAAAAAACAATGCACCCCTTTTTCTTTTTGTTGAAATGCACACTTTCTTTTATCACTTTTATCAAGTGAACTTGGTCCAACTAGGTTAAATATTTCGACTGAAAGAAGATTTGAGGTAGACAATATCTTCGTAGGCCTGGAAATTAATCAAATGTAGTTTCAGCCCTGTCCAAGTCCTAAACAAGGAAAAACTCACAGCTCCATTGCGTAAGCTGATACGAATTGGGCCAGTCAAACCCATTTTGCCCAAAAGTGGTTATTAGATCTAGCTATTTTCAAAGGTCCAAAAAAAATTATTGGTCCAAAATGGAAAGGTTGTTAGGCAGATTTAAATTAAGCCGGGCCTATTCCATTTTCATTCATAACGTTTCGGGCCAAGTATATGTTTATGTGGGCCTAAGGATTTCAGGCTGTTTAATTTTTTTGAATTGAGCATTTCCATTCTATATCTAATGTGAACTTAAAAAATCAAAAAATGTACATAAATTACATTCGGGATCTAATAATGATTAAACTACAAACCACCAAATAGAATCCCATAATAAGAATATATTAAAATAATGAGAAAAATTATACTTACAATTTTTTTTTTACAACCTCTTACAATCATATTTTAACACCGTTGATTTCCGTCAATCAATGGTTATCATTTATTGTGAATTAATAATTAATTAATTAGTTTAATTTGCAAAAATCATAACCGTTGATTGACGAAAATCAACGGTGTTAAAACATAATTGTAAGAGGTTGTAAAAAAAAAAAGTTGTAAGTATAACCAACCTTTAAAATAATTTCTCTATCTTTCATTAGCAAATATAAGATTATTTATCCATCATTTGCTGAGCTCATTCCCTCTAACAGAATATACTTTTGTATCAATAAATTGTTAATGTTTTCTAGCATTTTGCGACCCTTATGTGTAGACCATTCGGTGCTTCAACCCTCGGGAACTTCAGCAGTTTGTTTCCCTCGACTTTCCACCTGCAATAAATGAAAATTATAAGTTGTTATATCTGAATCTGGAATAACATTTAAGAATCACCAACTATAATCAAATAATATAAACACTAATAGTTGCCACAAATTATGATTCCTAAGTGTTGTGAGTAGTATCTTCCTAATGTATTTGGTCTCGTTAAAAATAGTAGAAAGGAAGATTTTGTAGGGATAAGTACTCTCTACCTGTATTTAGTGACAAAATAGTGAAGGAAAATAGAGATTATAACTATTCCCAATTCCTTTCCAGGACATAGCCTAACTCCTGCTCCAAACAACATGTTATGGTTATGAGACTCCAAGCCTTTCTCCTGCATTTCATTTCATTTCATTTCATTTATATTCATTACCAAGCAGTGTCTTCATACACTCTAAAACATAAGACTTTTGGTTGTTATATATATTAAGCAACTTACCAGCCATCTAGAGGGGTCAAAATTGAAAGGCTCTGGATAAAGGAAGGGATCACAGTTTGTCTCCCTTGTGTAAACATAAACTCTCCAACCCTGAGGAATGGTAAATCCTGGCAAGTGATAACCATAATCAATGCTAACTGAAATTTTTGAAGATAACTGTACCTTAATGACTTCCATGTTATTGCAAATGTACCATTCAATTCTACATCTGTGGTGGTCTTCCTCAATACCCCATTAACAATGTTAGCTAATCTCAAGGTTTCAAAAATCACCTGAAATAAATTTCCCACCATTTTTGTCCAAACTATATAATAAATAAATTTGTGGCTCATTTTTTCATTGTACAACTAGAATCAAGTAGAGAAGTATCTACCGCACGAGTATAAAGCATATGCTTATAGTCATCCCAGCTTACTACATCCTCTTGTTTTTTGCTTTGTTGGATTGCAAAATGCTCTTCCTGCAAACCAGTTTATATAGGTAAAAACAGATAATCATACTTAAAACCAAAAAAATAAAAATTGTTACCAAGAGTAGAATGCATTCCTTTTATGAGCCTTAAACAGAAAAGAGTATGATCAGATCAAAAGCTGTGACTCACCCTTACTTTTTCAAGAACTCTAGGATTATCATGGAGATATTTGACAGCCATCATTGTAGTAGTTGATACAGTTTCATATCCTGAGTATAAGAATGTGATTATTTGATCGATTATTTCTTCATCATTAAGTCTGTATTTGAAATCCTCATTTCTCATAAGCTGGTCAAGAATGTCAGCATGAGTATCCAAAGAAGATTTTCTCTTTGCTAAAACCTCTTTCAGTGTTGCAACCACTTTTTTCCTTGTCTGCAATCAACAACAGTTTGACATTGGTCAAGATGCCATCCATGTGAAGAAATTGAGTTCATGACAAACAGAAAATGATTATACAACTGCATACCTGAAGTCCTCGAAAGTAATTGGTGCCGGGAATTTTAATAGGCAGAGAAAACGTTCCTGACACTATGTTGTCAAATGTAGCTTTAAAGGTCTCATGGAAAGGACTTGGTTCATTTTCTACAATCAGCTTCATTGATACAAAGAATGCCATCTGAAAGGAGAAACTCAGAGAATGTTAACGTAACTGTACTAACTTTTGTAATTGCTCCTTTGGTGTATCAGCACCATTCAGAATAGCCATGACTCAAATTTTTTAGGGAAAGGATACTCTCACCTCACGTGACATGAGATCATGTGAAGTGACTTGTCTACACATGGCTAAGATTGTCTCACATGACCTCTTGTCATATGAGATGATCCTTTCGCGTGCATGTTTATAATATTTGTATTTGGTTGAAATGAACTATGCATAAGGTATTTACTATCTATGGTTAGCTATTAATTAAAGCAATAATCTGAGTGGGAGTTTTGTGATTTTTAATCAAACCTGTTTGGTTTTGTGTTGAATATCAATGGTTGTACCAGCCCAATTGTCAAGGAAAGACCGCATAAACTTGTCAACTTCTGGCAAAAGATGACCTCTAATTGCAGCCGGACCAATGAATGATAATATTGACCCTCTAATACGTTTATGAGGAGCACCATGAACTTCAGCAATGTTGCCATTCCCTAGTATATTCCTCATGGACACAGGGTAGCCTGGAACTAGACCCTTTGCTTCATTCTTGAGGATGTATCTGTTTAGTTCTGGATCCATGCTGATAACAACAGGAGAGCCTAATGCGTGAGACTTGAAGAGATTTCCATACCTACAGAGGAGACACATTAGAGCAAAGCGAAATGCACATATATCATGATAGAGCATTGCATAATACATACAATCACCAATAGGAGAATGAATATTATACTATAAACAATATCTGACCTTGGATAGGAAGTTTTAAAATAATAGAAACACCCATTATTATTCTGTTCTTCCTCTTCTGTTTCTTCCTATTTTGGTTTATCTTTCTCTTTCCAATTTGTGGTCTGTGTTTGGTTTTTTGGGGTGGGAGGAGGGTGGTTCTTTTCTTATTCCAATTCTTTCTGTAACACTTGGGAGTCTGGGAGATTTTTATGACATATGCTGTAGAGCATGTTAAACTGCATTTGGACAAGTATTATGGCTGTTATATTATACATATGAATTTTACTGATCCAAGTTGATTAAAGATCACAATATAAAGTTGAGTCCTACATATAAATATTGTGTACCCTCGGGGCACACCCTTGTCTAGAGGTGGCAAAGTGGGCGGTCCACCTAGCCCCGACTTGCCATCAACCTGCCAAAAAAATGAGTCAGCTCGTCCCGCTCCGCTTTTGAAAGTGGGCTAAAAAACTCAGTCCGTCCCGTCCCGTTTGGCGGGTTGGGCCGTCAGCCCGAGTCTATTTTATACTGACCCACCTTAGCTCATCTATGCCCGCCGTCAACCCGTCAAAAAATAAGCTCGCCCCGCTTTTGACCTGGGTTGAAAAACTCAGCCCGCCCCGCTCCATTTGGCGGGTTGGCCCGCCGAGCCGAACCCGTTTTGGGAGCTCTTTGTGCAAGCAAAGTGATATCTTCTACAGAAGCACTTGGTGAGGTTTTTTCTTCAATGCAGGCCTATATATTAAGGTGGTCAATATATCTTTGGCGGCACCTAGAAGCACTGACACATCCCAGTTATCCTTCTGTGTCACTAAGGCTTCTAATAAACCTCAAGAACCTCTAGAAGAGGTAACTTATGGTTAGCCAGGGAATAGTATGAATTTATAGAAAAAGGTTACTTAAAAACTATTAAGCTAAAGTGAGTGTTCTGCCTTTTGGTAGATTACATCTGTGGTAAAAATAATATTAACAACTAATAAGGGGGAAAAAAATTAATAGTAAGTCGGTTCCATTTCTAGCCCAAAAAGGAAAGAAGTCCATTTCCTACTGTATACTGAAAGTTAACCCATATCCCATTGTTTGCTGTAGAAATTTGGCTGGGGGTGGTAAGAGAATAACAGTGGCTATTGTTTGTAGATAGATAAATAATAATAATAATAATAATAATAAATTTAAATAAATTACTTCATCTCAAGAATAAGAGGGTGGTAGGTGGAGGAAAATAACAAAATGTAGAAATTATAAAAGGCCACCAAGAAGAAATACCTTGCTCTCTTGGCTTTCATGAAATCTGGTCCATGTTTGAGAAACCCTGCAGTCTCACCAAAAATAGGCCAACCCATTGTTCCTGGTGGCATTCCTTTCCTACTGTACCTGACCTCGTTCCACTTCAGCAGTACAATTACAAAGAGTGCACAAAACGCAAAAGCCAGTACATAATACACTATTTCTGGTATTGACATGATGCTCAAAAGCCTCAACACATGAGGAATTGTTATTAACTTGTAGCTTGCTCAGAATTTGATCTTGTAGAATGTGATTGGCTTTAGGCCAAGCCACACTGCAAGCTGAGACTGTGCAAAACAATAGGATAGGAGGGAATATTAAGTAGGCCAAAGTCAATTGCCAAACAACATATACACCCCACCTACTCTATCTATGATCATAACTTAGTGGCAGCTATATTTATCTGTGAGAATGTCAGATTTTTGCCAAAGTCATATTCATTGTTATGCTATAGAAGATGTTCATTTAGGCAATGGAATGTAATCTGTTTGTTGCATTGAACATATGTATACACCTTTCTCAAGATAATTGAAGTAGATTCATGAATATTAATTTTACCAATACGTTTTAGCTTTTAGTTTTATTTTTTCAATTTTCATGATACGCAATACGATTATCATGATGCAGAATCAATTAAAGACCTACCGTGATGTATAACAAGCTTCTCATTAGAAATTTTGAGTTGGGATGTCAGCCTTACTTCGCATCAAATTTAACATCCAATGTATACAGTTATTTTTTAAAATAAAAATTCATATTAAAAAAATTAAATCTATGAATTTGTCTTTAGGCATATTAGTTATACACTTCATACCCTCACAGCTTAAAGAAAAAGAAAAAGAAAAATGAATGGTAAATGAAAAGTCTGAATATAACATTACTATTGCTTTTATTTTTCATTTTAGTTTAATCATGTTTGCGTTACCTAGAGAATTCTTGAGTTTGACATAATTAATAACTCCCTTTTCAGTAATTAATAATTGTAATTAAAAATTTAAAATATAAAACTTTATCCTTATTAATAGCTCAATTTATTTTTAAGATAAAAGTATTACCGAATCAATTTTTATATTAACTGGGACTAAATTCTTTCTCAAAATAATTTAAGGGTGCATTCTCTCATATCAACTTTTATATTAAAAATAATATTATTATTATCCTAAATGTTGCTCTCCAAGGTCCAATTTGATGCAGTACAATGTAGAGTATTTCGGCATATTCTCCATAAAATTTCAAAATTTTATAATATAAAATAACATAGCGTTTCTTCTGCTGATGAATAATTGATAGGAGTACAAATCCGCTTTAACATTCCATAGACGTATCATGCACTTTAGCTTATGATTTCTAGAATATTAATGTAATACATTCTCAGATATCCCAAAAAAAATAATATAAAAAATGGAAAAGAAAATCCATAGTATGCATTATATTAAAATTCCATTTAATTTAAAAGATTAATAAAATATGTGTAGAGTTTGGATAAGATCGTTTGAGAAAAAAGAAAAAAAAAATTTATTCTGCATTCCACGTAGGAACTTTTCACATTATTAACCAATTAAAAATATATATAAAAGCAATAACCAAGTCTGATTCCTCTTGAACACTCGTACTCCTGATACCATTATCTTAGATGCATGAAGCCCCATGTATCTTTGACCTTTTTAAAAAAAAAAAAAAAAAAAAAATCTTTTCGGTCCCTCTACCATTCTTTAATGGGGGATCATCTGTTAATTTACATGTTACTAATGGAGTCCGCGTTAATCATTGTTTAATCTTTACTTGTCTAAACCATCTCAAAACATTTTATTTATCATTTTTCAAACTACTCCAACTTTCTTAGTTTCTTCTAATCACCTGATTATATTAATCTTATCATTCCTGGTTCTCCGCTCACACATCCATTGCAACATCCTCATTATATTTATGCTACCTTAAACTTTTGTTCATGTTTTCAATTCACTGCCAAGTTTATTGCTCCATAAACTTCCAAAATCTTTATTTACTTCTATATATAGACACCATAAGACGAAACAAATACTTAAGCCATTTCTCCATTTATCCCTCCTGCTTCGATTTATAGTATCACTATTCACTAATCCCTCTGTCCTGTTGTAAAATAGTTCCAAATATATATATATATATATATATATATATATATATATATATATATATATATATATATGAATTTTATACTTACAAATTATTTTTGTTTACACTCTCTCACAACCACATCTTAATCGTTGATTTCCGTCAATCTAACGGTTATAATTTATTGGGTCTGTTGTGCGATAACTGACAGAGGCAGACATATTTATATATTAATATATAAAAAAATAAAAAAATATACGGATATAAATGATATTGAGATCGACACGGATTGCGAGTAATCCGTTCGTTATTATCAAATCGACTCAAAAATGAATCAATGAGAATAAAAAAGATTATTTTTCTTCATTAATCCATTCTTAAAACTTTATATTTACAAATCCTAATATGAATCTAGATCATTACTAAGATCCGAATTTTTGGAAAAATATGTAATAAAGAAAGAGCGCCGAAGGTATCTTATATTTTCGTCCGTATCAGAACACGTCGGTCAATTCCAGAGAAACAAAATCGTCTGATTGGCGAAAATCAACAATTAAGATGTGGTTGTGAAAGGTTGTAAACGAAAATAGGTTGTAAGTATATCCTTTCTAATATATATGTAAGGGTAGTTGTAGATAAGCTTATCTCACGCTACCCCTTTTAATTATGTATTACGGGTAGTATATGGTTATAACGTTAAAGTTGCTTTTTTTCTCTCTCCTCAGTCACTTTTCAGAACTTGTTTGCTGACGTGAAGAGAAAAAAAAAATAACTTTAACATTACAACTATGTACAATTCGTAGTACATAGTTAAAAGGGGTAGCTTGAGATAAGCTTATCTCAAGTAGCTGGAGAAATATTTTTCCCTATATATATATGGATATGATCAATTTATATCTGTGTAAGAATAAGAAGTCTTATACTAAATTTGGTCATTGATTGCTTGTATCTAATGACTCAAATATCTAATAAATCATAAGCGTCAGATATAAATAGGATTAACAATCAATATTGAGAGTGTAACTTACACCAGTGTAAAATGATCCTGACCCATATTATACATGCATACATATATACATACATATATATACACATATGGGCTTTACTTTTCTCCAGCCGCTTGACGTCCAGTAAATAAATTTAGGAAATCATAACCATACAAAGGTGGGTGAAAGTATTAAATGCAGGGAATCGTAATTAATTAACGGTGTAAAGTTTAGTTTATTGTTGGACGTCCAGCAGCCGAAGAAATGATTTTTTCTATATATATATATATTGTGATTCAGTTTATCTCTCCCATTGGTCCTTATTTCAATTAACAGTGTAAGGTTTATTGATGGACGTCCAGCAGCCGAAGAAATGCTTTTATATATATATATATATATATATATATATATATATATATATATATATACATACATATATATAAGCATATAATCAACTTACACCGGTGTAAAAAATAATAATAAGTCTTACATCATATCTTAAACGTTAGACGCACAACGATTAAGATTTATTGTGTCATAATAATCCACTTGGTAGGCAAAAAAATTAATTAATTGCAATTTAAATAAAAAATTACGCATTTATTGCTATTTTCAAACCATTTATGCGTGTATTACAGTGTGTCACGCCAAGATTGGACGTCAGAGGTGACGCCCCATGAAGGCGTCAATGCCACGTGTGTCACGCCTCATTTAGGTGTGACCAGTGATGCCCAAATTGGACGTGTGTAGGCCTGATTTGAAGCCCACCTAGGGCGTGAATGGTGTAGTTATATTTATTCAAACCCTTCTCCTCTACACACTTTTCACAACTTTTCTCCATCATGAATCATGAATCCTTACTTTTACATACAATATTATTAGCTTATTCATAGTCTCTTATTTTGTTTGTTTAAATATTTAAAAATGAGTTCACATTCTGATTTTGTTCATGTTGTGTTATATTACAATGGTGCCAAGGTGGAAGGCCGACATGGTGTAATTTTTGAAGGTGAAAAAGGCCAACACGTATCAAACGCAACTCAACAATTGATGAACTGCATCAGAGAATTCGTCAAAAGTTAGCTCTCGAAAGTAACCAATTTATCACTCATGTCACCCCAAGGTTATGAAAATCTGAACAATACATTAGTTTGCAAGTGGTGGATGATGAAGATGTAGATATGATAATAGAACAATTCTTCAACCAATCAAGGAAAGATTTTTTGGAGTTGTGTGGGGACATTGTTGGAGCAGAGGATGTTGTTATACCCGTGAGGTCAGTTGCTTTAAATTCTCCACGTAATGCATCAACATCTGCTGCTCCTACTACTCCAGTTGTTAACATTTTCGAGGAAGATGAAAATGACCCTACTTGTGTTATGCATGATGACTATGATGACGACGCTGATGAAAATATCGCAATGGAAGAACGTCTCCTAGCCGAGGATTGCTTCCGAAGGAGATGACGATGGTGATAGGCCCGCATCTCAAATCCCAGTGTATCATGATCAGTTGGAGTCTCAAATCCCTTAACTGAATGACATGGGCTCGACACAATTAGCACAACAGCATAACGATATTTTGGTAAATAACTCGTATGTGATTTTATTTATGTAAATATTATATTTACTAGTACACTCGTACAAATTTAAGATGGAACTACCTACGTCTGTACACTTGAGTCTGTACCCGTATCAGATCTACCCGCGTCTGTACACTCGCACAAATTCTTGAATAAGTATGCAAGAACTGCAGACCCCCAGCTATATCGGCCAATCTCGTCAAACCCTTCTCCGAGCAATGGAACTAAGCGACATCCAATGTTGCTACCTCCTGATTAGTCGCATAGAAGCCAACACCCACACATACGCGTAATATGTGCCCTCGTGAAAAAAATCTCACGGTCATGATACCCAGCTACCTCACCCCAATGAGCATATAACCGATCAAATTACGAAATTCGTAAATCGCCAACACCATGGAACTCACTGGCC